TTAATTAATTTCTTTTTTGACATGTTTAACAGGAGAGCAACTTGATTTTTGATCAAGTCCATTATTGCAAGTTGCAAGTTGACAGATGCTAAAGTGCAAAAAGCTCAATATTTTACAGTTTTCTCTCTCTAAAATCATGGAATCATATTACAAAGAAATGACATAAGTTGATATAATAAAATAATATATGGTCAAATTCTTGTGAAACTAAAAGTTGTTGCGAAAAAAATTAATTATTTATGGAGAACATAAATCAACTTGAGGTGTGTCAAAGAATAGTCTTTGATGATATTTCGTCTACATAGTGATGGTCTAAATTTGACATAATTCTTAAGATTCAACCAGCTCTTTCAGTTAGCTAATGAATCATATCATAATTAAGTCTAAATTTGACATTTTCCTCAAGATTCAACCAACTCTTTCTGTTAGCTAATGAATCATATCTTAATTAACAACAAACGACTAGTATATTCTTCTTCCAATAAAAATTATATACATAATTTATCTATTGAAATTATGTGCCACCCCATTTTGCCAATAATGACATACAAGCAGCTCCCAAGACAAGTGATACATTTGCACTTATTTGGAGTTTGAAACTAGTGTGTAATTTAGGGTCCATAAAATCAGTTGCAAGAAGATCCACAAGTGCCATGTAAATAAGAATTCCAGCTGATGCTGAATTAAGAACTCCTTGTACAATTAGTGCTGTTGAGCTTTGCTCATTGTAACCTTTTGATATCATCATTCCAATAGCTATTCCACTTGGAGTAGTAACAGTAAAGAACAATACCATAATTATAATTGTTCTTGCCTTATACTTTGCCTGCACATGCACATATATCAGGTACAGTACAACCAGAACTCTCAAAAAGTGAAATATAACAACTAATTTAAAACGAACAAAAGCATTCACTAATTTTACCTGGGAAATACAGCCACCAAGTCCCATGCCTTCAAAAAATTGATGAAAACTCAAAGCTATTATTAGAGGTTTAATTGTTTTGGGATTTTCTGTAGTTCCAAGGGAAATCCCAATAATCACAGAATGAACCAAAATTCCCAATTCCAAAACCTGCAAAATTTGAAGAATTATTAATTTCAGAATATTAGTATGTCAAATATTTTTGCATAGTTTTCTTTGGTTAGAGAATACTTGTGGTAAAATATGTTTTTTATTAATAAGTTTCTATTTTTCTCCTAATTCAATTGAAGGTTTTGCAACATAAAACTAGCTATGATTAGGATAAATTTGTAAGGTTGTTTATGTAATTAACCTTAAATCTGTTGAATCAGAACAAATGGAGTTGAATTATTAACTCTATGACATGACAAAAAAAAACACAGAATAATTGACAACACAAAAAGATTAGGCATTTTTATAATATAAAAAGACAAATATACCGACACAAGAATATGCCCAAATTATATTCTATGATTTTTGTTCTTTCGAAATCTCTCAAACTATTTTTGTTTTAGAAAAGAAACCAATAAAAAAAAAAAGAAGCAAAATAAGATGAAGAAAATTAAGGAAAAATAGATCAAGGAAATATTAAGGAAAATTTTAATTTTTTCTTTGTTTTCTTTCTTCTCTTTCGTGTAGTTATAAAAACCCCACCAGACATCAGTAGAGTAGAAAATCTGTTTTATTACCCACCATGCATTTCCTCACTGAGCTAATTCGGTAGAAAATGAGTGGAGAATCATGTTTATAACACAAATTTTCTACTTATTCATGATTATTAAAAAAAACCATTTCGTACAAAAAAATAAATAAATATACTATCAGATCAGTCAAAATATATTTACCTGTGATATCAACCTATGTCTCATAAGACTTGAAGAATCAGATCTTTCTAGCAAAATTTGTGGACCATGAGCAATATGCTCATCTTGTCCTTGTTCATCATCATCTCCAATATTGACTGGCTGAGCTTTTCTCAATTCAGCTCTTCTATGATAACCAGTTGCAAATGACTCCATCATCAAAGTAAATATAGCAGACATCATTGCAACAAATCCAGCAAATGGAAAACCCCCCCATAAATTTTCACTAAGACAAGGACTAGTTAAGCTCTCAAATGCATCAGGAAGAATGTGTATAAACCCCGTGGCTAAGATCACTCCCGCCGCGAACGCCTTTATCAAGAATTGAAGGGATGAATAGTCATTTTTTTGCAATGATTTGAAGTTTTTAAAGAGGATTGGAAGGATGACTCCAAGTGCACTTGAACAAAGGATTGAAGATATGGCTATAAGTTTGTAGGATAAGGCTTTGTGTTTAGTTTGATGATTATATTTGTTGTCTTGAGGTTCACATGTACAATTTGCTAAGATTAGGGTTGGTTGTACAAGGATTGATAGGGTTGTGATTTTGAGGAGTAGAAATAATTGAGGACTCATTATTGTTTAGTTTTGTTTGTTTTTATGGAGGAGAAGAATAAGTGGTGAAGCTTTTAATTTATAATATATGGAGTTTGGACAAGTTGCAATATTCAAGATGTGTGATAGATAGATAATTGGAATTTTGTGTTTTTTTGGTGAATAATTTGAAAGCTAGATCCATTAATTAATTCGAAAGGTTTATTACCAATTTGAAAGAATTGATCATCATTTAGTACCTAAAAATAGTAATTTGCCCCATGTGAAAGATTCAAATTTATTTATATCAGATATTTTACACCAGTCGATAAAAGGAAGACATACTATTTTGTTATATAGTCTTTAACATACATAGAATTCTATGCTAGTAGTGTATCAACTTATTCTACCGGTATACGTGAATTAATTGGGTTCAAAATTATGCAGATTTTAGGACATTTTCATGTTCCAAAATAATTTTAAAGTGGTATCATACAATGATAATTATGTTTATGTGTTTTAAGTTTTTTTTTTTAAAAGTGTGAGATAGAATTTCTAGACATGCCATCGTCAACGACAATATATAGCCAACACAACATAGAGTGAGAGAGAGTGTTTCCTCATAGACAAATTCAAAATTCAAATTTCCAATTCTAACCACAATTCGTTCAATTTATTGATACAAAATGTATTATTTGAAATTATACTTGGTGAGAATTTTAATACATTCTTGTCCCTGTACACAAATCGCTGGCTCCAAAGATATATGTTTAATGAAATTATATTCCTCTAAACTAATGTTCGAAAAAAGGACTATCCTCTAATAAAACGGCTAACGACGATTACTTCTATGTTGTATTGTCAAAATTTATATGCTCCTTAACAATGTTAACATAGGAAACTCCATTCGAGGAAGAGAAGTACTTTAAATAATTTAATATGTCCTTTCGTGATATAATTACTCCTAACACTTAAAATAATATTACCTTCAATTTGGTTGGTCATATAAGAAAAAATGTGTTTCATATAAGTCGTGTAATCTTCGATTACTGGTATTAAATAATATTCACATTAAGTTATGTGAAATTTGTTCTCTAGTATTATATACTATATAAAATGTGATCGGTGATAGCGTCAGGTTGAATTAAATTGACATATTTTTTTAGGTCATTATTAGTCGATAACTCTCAAAATATATTCTCTATGAATTACTAATCCTAACACGCCTATTTTTGTTTTGATCCCTGCCTTTTTTCTTGTGGGTAAGTTTTCTTCTCCTCTATACTCCACAAGTTATTTCCAACATGTCTGGATGCCATATACTTCAATTATTTGATGGGAATGTCCTTTTGTCATAGTGTTAGGACTAGCTAAGGTCAACATCTATGCATGTTATGAAAACTTAATTCGATAAGAAAGCGTCAATGAAATAATTATGGATCTATCTCTATAGAGTATAGTTTGCATTTTAGTTTGAGAAAAACACTTTATAAACTATTTTGCTTCCAATTTCTTGTTTGTCATAATTACCAAGGTGACATAGTTTTATTGGATGGCGTAAGCAATTGATAGTGATAATCAATAATGTACCAATTTAGATGGCGTAAGCACTTGATAGTGTAAACTGTAAAGTATTGGTGGAAGAGGCACATATCTATATTATAGCTTATGAAATGTCAAAAAATACTAATTTCTCAGGAAAAATATTTATGTGAGAGCATGAAGGTGTTTGATAACAATAAAAAAAATATTTAGTGTAATAGTATAGCAGTAGCAACACAAGGAAAAAATTCCCCAAAAAATGTGTTTCAAATTTTTTAATAAAGACACGAGGACAAGACACCACTAGTATAAAAATCCATATTTATCAAATTAAAATCTTATTTTATGTAATTCAACTCTTAAAATTACTTTTTGAAAATGTTGGATCACACAAATTAGTCACTAACAAAAAACACGTTTCAAATGATTTATCTCAAACACAAACTAATATAGTGTATAGTGGTAGAAGAGATGAAGTAAACAACCTAAAAATAAAGATTTGAGCATCACTAGATGCAACACCAAGGTGATCAATGTTTTATCAAATGTCTAAACCTTGATGAATCAAGTTACTTACTTGTGACGATGAAAAAAACAAAACATTTGACATCCGAGAATGCACTTTCGTATTTCTAGTATAACAACATATCCAATATAATCCCAGAATGTGGAATATGAGAAGGATCAAGTGTACGGATCTACCTTGTTAAATCCCCCTCGATAGACCCTCTGCTCAAAGAGTACTTTGGTGTGAGGAATAATAATATATAGTCCTGGGATAAAAGTTTGGTGTCTTGTTTGGTTGACATGTTTGGGATAACTTATCCCACCATTTATACCATAGTGATGGGATAAGTTATCCGGGTGGGATAACTAATTCCCAACCAAACGACTTACTTTTTATCTGCACTAAAGCAGCTCTCAGCTTAATGCTGCTTTTAGATGAAATTACTCTGTTCTATGCCACACAGATGTAACATAAAAATTAAAACCAAGGTTTGTTTCAGAGTGGCAGTTACTGTCTAATAAAAAACATGAAATTAGATGGACAATAATGTATCAGAAGTTGTTGTGAGCAAAATATAAACATCATGAGATTAACGAAGGCACATATCGTTAACACGATGGAACCATATTTAAAGATGAGTTATGAAGTTCTAATACAAGCAACCAAAATTATTGACCTAGAAAATAAAGAGCATTATTGTGCACTACCTACTGTTGGCCAGCAGCTAATCAAACAGAGAAAAGACTGCAGATATGTATTCATGGATCAGCCTTGGTCCTCTTTGATGGTGCTTCATCGCACACCTCGTCTTTAAAACCAAATGATTTTCCGGTTTTACCCATGAACCACCTATACAAAAACATGAACAAAGAGTTGTTATAACAAACCAAAAGAAAAGGATTAAAGAAAATTACAATGTGTGATATCAATACCTTCCCCAGCTGACTCTCTCGGATACTTCTGTTTCTTTCCCTTGACACTCAATCTCAACTAATGTCCAATCATCATCAGAACCAACAGAGTCCTTCCTCGAGATGCCATTGTTATCATCTGGTAAAGAACTTTCTGATGCAGCATCTGTAACACCAGTTGGCTGGATACTGTAATCCATTCCTCCTCCTGCAGTTGGTCCAGATTGCTCTCCATGCTCCTTCACTTGCAGTAAGGGACTATTTTCATCATTCAATAGCATAGCCAACGGCTTTTCTTCTGCACTGTCCTCTGTGATAGAGGTTTCCATATCACCCTCCTTTATCTCAAGCAACATCATCTTATCTGCAAGTTTTCTTGATGAATTGTCCTCCTCAAATACCTTGTTTTCTTCAGGTTTGGTTTGCTCAACTGGTCCTCCATTATCCACTCTACCGTCAGTAGGAGTTTTTGCACCACGGAGTAATTCTTCTGACAAATAAGAATTATCATCCATCGACCTAATTTTGGCTAACTCAGAAAATGATACAGCATTTGCAGTTTTTGCACTGCCACATGTTTCCAAAGACAACATCTGAAATTGCATAGGTAAAGTTGACTGTTGAGCTGCAAACCTTTCTGCTTTCACAAAATTCCCCTGTTCAAGCAGGTTGGTTAAAGCATTGTCTACATATGCAACTTCAAACATTTTGGAACGTGAAAGAACCTCTATCTCCCCAGACTCCCCAAATATACAGCCAACAACAAGTGGGCACCAGTTTGCTTCAGACTTCGCCGCAGTATTCACCTGCCTCAAAGTCTTTTTTAACCAATCTACACATCGCTCTCCTCGTTTCTTCAGTTGGACAGAAACAGTTAGCTTTGCAATCTTTGTCATACAAATTCCAATTGTACGAAGCCTGAAGAAACTTTCCTTGGTGCAAAGAAATTCTATTCCAGTGTCTGTAAAAACAGCTGTGGTATCCAGAAACTCACCATCCAGCAACCACACTAAGAAGCTACGAGACATATCTTCAACTGGTGCCACTGATGGAGTAGTAATCACCAAAACATCTGCTTTTCCCCATTTCTCTTCTTTGTATTTCCTCCAGCTGGAATAGAAGGCTGTTAATCTTTCTGTAAGTTGCTTGACATCTTTTGTGCCTTTGTTCTCCTCCATTACCAATTGAGGCTGATTGTTCCTGCCTCGCTTCTCTCCAATCTTACACTGCTCTCCAAACTTAAACAGCTGATCGCCTTTCTTTCCTTCTCCAAAGGTCTTTGATTTGCCGTCTTTAGCATCCAATTTAGTTGACCCAAACTTAAACAGATCATCAACAGGTCTGCTTATTTTCTTTAACTTGTCCTTTAACTTGTCATTTTTACCATCCAAAATATTTGACCTGGACTTAAATACCTGATCACCATTTTTGTTTCCTGCCTTGTGATTGTCTTCTTTACCATCATCAAAACAATTTCCTCCAAACATCGACACCACCTGATCACGAGACATGTTTGCTACCTTAAACTTATCCTGTTCTCCACTAGGAGAAGAAGAGAACCGTTCAATACTCTCCATCATCTCCATAAAATCTAACTCATCATCAATAAGGTTATCCACCCTGCCCGTCGATTTATCACCGCAGAAGAGTTTAGTTTTGTCAAATTCAGAACCCAAATTGCTACTCCCCTTTTCACTCAAGCCTACACGTTCAAATTTAGACTCAAGATCGTTCTTTCCCTTCACCAACAAACCAGATTGATTTCCCCGCGAAAACAGTTGTTTCTCTTCTTCAGCACAGAAAGTACTAAGTAGTGATTGCAAAAAATCTAATTCTTGTCCAGAAATTGGTTTATCACCAGCATTAATCATCTTATTAATACCAGAATTCACAGTAACTACTTTATACTTTTTGGGTTCTAAATCATTCATACAATTCCAAAAAAGCTTAGACTTAGGGTACTCACCTTCTATATAACCCACAACAAACGGCCAATTCCAATCATCACCAAAAACACCAGTAAACCCCTTGCTGTTACGAATTACCCTGGCGTCACGTATCGTAGAGTCGATTAACGCAAACCCCTCATCGTTCTTGGCCTTCAATTGAACAGAAACAGGCTGTTTCCTCATCAGAGTAGCAGAACAACACAAAGATCGAATCTTGGAATAATTTTTCTGGGTACAGAAAAAGAATATCCCATAAGGGGTAAAGATGGTAGTTGTATCATCAAACTTTTCCCCCATAAGCCATAAATAGAACTGGGATGACAGAGAATTTGGGTTTTCCTGTTGCTGTGAATGGATTACAACAACATCAGAATTCCCCCATGAATCTTTCTTGGTGAAAATCAAACTATCGTAAAAGGCAGTAAGCCTTTTCTGAAAAAGCTCTTTCATCATGTTCTTGATTGTTTCGGAATTGGAAAAAATTGAAGAGTGATGGGATTTTATGGTCTTGTTGGAGAAGAAGAAGGAGACCGAATAGGTTTTTGGGTCTTCTAAAGAAATCGTTAAAAGCTATGGAAATTGTGTCATACTGAAATACGACTTGAAAATTGACATCACCAATAGAGAGTCTTTGTATAAGTTGCAACTTGGAACTTAGAAGTAAACGAATAGTAAGGCAAAAAATTTGGAGAGATATCAGTAAAAGGTTACAAGATTTTTTTAGACTAAATTTCGCTCGTGGTTATCCACTTTATATTTTACTTTATTTAGAGCTGCTTTGGAGAAGAGTCATATAAATATTAAATTTTTGATAATTAATTTCTGTATTAATATAGTAAAATTTTATTAAATTAATACTACTAGATATTTTATTTGTCCCAATTCATGTGACTTAATTTTCTTTTTAGTCTGTCCCAAAAAAAATGATACATTTCTATATTAAGTAACAATTTAACTATAAATTGTCTATTTTATCCTTAATGAAATGATTTACAACCACATAAATTTTTATCATTCATTTTAGACCACAAGTTTTAAAAGTCTTTCTTTTTTTCTTAAACTCTGTGTCGAGTCAAACTACCTCATATGAAATGGGACGGAGGGATAATTAATAATCTCTCTATGATACTACCTCCGTCCACTTTTAATTGTCATCGTTTCTCTTTTTAGAGTCAAACTATAAAAACTTTGATTAATATTTTACGATGTATATTTCCATCATATTGATATGCAAAAAATTGCAATTTATAATACTTTTCATATAATTTTTGAATATCTAAATTTTTTGTTTAAAATATCAAATTAATATAATCTAATTTAACTTTAAAAATTAGTCAAATTGACATTTGAAAAACGCAACATGACAAATAAAAGTGGGCCATTAGAACATATCACTTATTTCAATGCGATAAAATAATATATTTTCAAAAGATCTTTGTATAAATATATGATCATATTAATATTATAAATTAATAATCCTTTAAAAGTACAAATATAACTAAGATAATTTAGTGAAATATGATTCTATTATATTTTATTTTTTGTTAAAATTTAAATTTAGTTGAAGCTCATCTTTGATTTTTCTTATTGCATCCAAAAGTTTGGGTGTTTCCACAACTGCAATTTTTTTGAGTGCATGTGGAGTGATCTTTTTTATATTCACATAATACTTTGCGTATTTTATCTGTCATAATTGATTTTATGACACTTTTTAAATGAGAAGCCATTTTTTATATGATTTCAGGAATTTTTTATGTTGCGTAATATAGTTTAGTCTTTCACCATCATACAATATACATTGAATGCTTTTAGTAAAGATACAATGAATAATATTTGATAATATATAATGAAATTGTTTTTACAGCGAATCATTGAATTCTTGAATTTATTTTACAATGAACCATTTACAAAAAAAAAAAATATTACAATGAATCATACACATTCTTTGTACTTTATATATAATGAATTTATTATACATAATTTAGTAAGATACAATGATTTTGATGTATTCATTGTACTTTATAATTAATAAATTTATTTTTTATGTGAATTCAATAAATATGATATTATATATAAATTAGTAAGATACAATGATTTTGATCTAATCCAAATTGGATTTGGCTCCCCTTCATTACACTTTCTCTCCATTTCGTCAAGTATACTTCTAGATGAGAGACACATGTTCTATTCAGTTTTTAAAGGTCAAGATTATAGTATATTAATAAGTATTATGACCATAGTTAAGTTAACAAATTTTGGTAAACCATTCTCTAAATTTGGTAAGAACAAAATATTCCACATAAATTTTATATCCGTTAATATCAGTATTTTCATCTTATATTTTTTTATTTAAATATTAAACTATGCAATATTTAAGATGAGAATCGACCAAAAAAAAATTGTGCCAATAAAATTTATTTTTGAAATATTATGTTGAGAAACAAGAAAGAAGGTGCAAACTTATCAATGTTAGACAAAAATTATAAAATAAAAGAACGGGAAATAAAAGTAATAATAACAACGTTGAGACGTCTAAAGTTTAGGAGAAAGTGTTGCTGCTGCGTTTGAAGAAGAAAAAAAAAAGAAATACATATGTTTTAAAAAAATATTATTTTATCTTCTTTCGTTATTGTTTGTGAATTTCAAAAACATATTTAAAGCCAAAATATTTTTGAAGATTGTTATTTATCATGCTAAATAAAAATATTGTTAGATATATGATCTATTTTTTAATTTTTGAAGATAAAAATATAAGATGAAATTAATGGTATTAATAAATATTAAATTTGTTGGGAATATTTTGCTCTTATCAAATTTGGAGAATGGTTTTCTAAAAATTTGTTGACTTAACTATGGTTATAATACTTATTAATATACTGTAATTTGGACCTTTAAAAATTAAATAGGAGACATGTCTCTCATCTAGAAGAGTACTTAACAAAATGGAGGAAAAGTGTAATGGATGGGAGCTAAACCCATCAAAATTAACCTTCATTGGATCTCAAATACTCTTTAAATTAATTAATATTAATTTATCGATGAAATAATATCTATATAAACTAATAATATTTCATAATCCCACCTATATTAATTTAGTGAGGTTTTACTGTATTTGTCTTTATATATATATTATATTAAATTAAGTTTTTAATATAAATATACTTAGATTTAGGCTTAAATTTTTAAAATTTTGTCGATTCAAAACTCCTACTTCCCCCGTGATAGATTGTCATAAAATTTGAATATTATAAATAATTTATTTGAATAAAATTATGGGGCAACTTATAGATTTTCCTACGATATATTATGAAATTGGGTAATAACCATTAAACTTAGTTATTACTGTACGTACATTGTAAAAATCATTTCATTAGAAGTTGAACTCAATATTGATCGTGATAAATATTTGCATAGTTAATCATAGTTTTCATATTCTGATTATTCAGTTTAAGAGACTAAATATTTATTTGATTTAGTAACTTTCGCGTATTGAATCAATTGTCAACTGTTTTTTAATATTAAATTAAGCTTCAATTGTGAATACGTTGATTTAATATATCGATTACTAAATTAACTAATAACTATTTCTGATCTGATCAAAGTGTTGTAACTACATCAGGTGTCAACTATTCTCAATTCACAACCCAGTTTAATGTCCATCAATCAATCAATTGTCAACTGTCAACTATTTTCGTATCTGACTAGAGTGTTGTAACTACATTATTTGTCAAGTACTTTCAATTCACAACTCAATCTAACACACATCAATCAATCAATTGCCAACTGTCAATCATTAATTAAATAACTTTCAAATATTAAATCAACTCTCAACTGTTATAACTACGTCAGCTATCAGCTGTCAACTACTCTCATTCACGACTCAATCTAACACCCATCAATCAATTACTATTGTCAGAGGTCCAAAGAGGAAGAACAATTAAACTGGAGGAGGTGATGCAAATGTCATGTTATGAGAGGTCAAGAGTAGTTGATTTTGCTATGCTATTTGGATCAATTAATAGAAGTATAACTTACATAAATAACATAGTGTAAAACCTAAATTACCTTTTATCCCTATTATTTTTGTAATTGCATAAATCCCATATTTTTTAAGCATTTCAGATACATAATTAAGGATCCAGATACATTATGTATCAAATCAGTTGCACTTATTAAGGAATAAAAAAGCTGAAAAATCAAATTAAGATCTCATAGTATCCATTTGTTGCACTAATTAAGGGAAAAAAAAAGTTGAAAATCAAATTAAGATTCCATAAATTACGTTATTCCATTCCAAATTATTGTCAAGAATTCAAAATCCTATAGTGTAACAAATCCAAAAATTCAAAAATTAAATTTATTCTTCTTGTTCATCTTTCTCTCTGTTTCATAAAAACTTTTTGTCGAAATTTTGGATAAGCAAGGTGAGTTATGAAGGATACAAAAGTGATGAAATTGTTATTGGACAAACGATTTCTTTTGTGAATCTTCAAGTTTATCGAATATCCTTTCAATGAACATCATCGTTAAGATGCTAAAGATCAAGAATGCGACAAACTTTGAAGTGAAGCACTGCTATCGGGAGTGCAATCAAGTAGCTGATAGTTTGGCCAAACTAGCCTCGACCACCGACCAAAATCAAGTTGTATATTCCTATTTTGATTTGCACAGAACCTCTAAAGGCCCCTTTCAACTTGATAAGTGACAAATGCCTTGTATTCGATCCAAATTTGACAAGGCCAACTTTTTGTTAGCTAGGTGGTAATTTTGCCAGAAGCTTGGCTACTTTCAGCCTCTTCTGGCTTATCAATGGTGATGTGATCACCACAAAATGTGTTGTATTTGAGGTCAGGCCCAGCCCCCCTCTGTATCTTTTTGCTTAATACAACACTGCCTAGAGATAAGACTGGGTAATTTATTTTTTTTAAAAAGAATATCCTTTCGATTTTGATTCAAGATTGTCGAAAATTTTGAGATTCAAAATCTTTCTCCAGTTCATTGAAGATCCTTTCCGTTTGGATTCAAAATTGTTGAAAATTTTGAGTTTCAAAATTATTCTCCTAGTTCATTGAAGATTCTTTCAATTTTGATTCAAAATTATCGAAAATTTTGAGAAAATACATCATGAAGATCCTTTCAATTTAAATTGATGAGTGTTGTATTTCCACTAGATACATTAAATAAGAAAGTGTTGCCCATAAGATTTTAGGTTTGAGATCGATACATTATTATTTGGTAATTGTTATGTATCAGATACATTTAGTATAAATTTGAATTTATAACTAAAAAATTAGTGTATGATACATTATTATTTATGTATCTTATTTTGTTTGAGAAATATTATATTTTAAAATAAAAAAAATACATTATACATGTTATTGTTCCAAAATACCTTCTTTTTTGTGTTTGTGATAAATAACACAAATTTTATGTATCAATTACATTTATATTGAACATGATAAACACTAATAAAAATTCAACAACATTAGAGTTATGTATCAATACCTTAAATATGAACATTATACACTGCATAAAACAAAGGTTATTGTAGCCGTGATGTATCAGATCAATGATAACACTAATAAAGATTAATTTAAGACTCAACATAAATAAGATACATTAAAAATCTGTATATTTAAATTTTTTAAATTTGTCTTTGATTGGGGTTTGAAACTAAGCTTAATTGGGATCTCCAATTTTAATTAAAGGTTTTGAATACAAATTTCTAAAATTAAAATTAAAATTTTGTATTGGAACCTAAAATATCAAACACCAAATGACACACTAAAAAAAGAAAAAAGAACACTCTTTGAATAATTTTTGTTTTTTTTTAAAAAAAAGCGAACTAATTGTACGGCTTGGATTAGAAAGAGGACCACCATAAATAGTTTTAGTACTTTTGGAAGTTAACAAAATGCTACAAACAAAGAACCAAATCTATAATTCTTAAAGACTAAGCAAAGCGTCACATCCCAAAACTTATTGAGTCATCGGAAAGGGAAGTGATGTCGGAATCAAGCCGGTGGACTATGCCGGAGATGGCCGGAATCCTGTCAAATAAGATCCCTCAAGATGAACTCAAGCCTGGAGATCATATCTATTCATGGAGAAACGCCTATCTCTATGCTCATCACGGTCATTTTCCACTTTTTTTTTGCTTAATATATCTCCGGGAAATCCTTTTTTTGCTTTACTCTTAGATGAACTTTCTCGAAGTTTTTTATTTCTGTTTGTATCTACGTTTTGATTTTTATACAAAATGGGTCAAATTTCGATTTGATTTTGTTCATTTTAAATGTACGAGCAAGTATTAATAGGAAGGAACTTTTATGAAATCTGGAGATATAACTTCAACATTTCGTTGAATATTATGGGAAAATACATTTAGGAGCTTATTAAATAAACGACACAATTTGAATTGGTAATTAACTGAACAGTCTCTGTTAGATTCTCCGCTTGAAACAAGGGAAAGGTCAATTCAATTCTCGATGGGAATGCTACTTCTAAGTCTAGTTTGACTAGTTTGGGGAAAACTTGAATTTCTGCTATAATCAACCTTTCCAAAACAAAAGGAGATTCCGCTAGGAGTTGTGGCAAGCTAATTCAGAAATGAAGAAGTCTACCCAACGCGTATTTGGTGTGGATCTACTGGCCCGGACCTTGTTGAAGCTCTGTTTCCCCTAATTCAGAAACACAACAATAGACTTGCCAAAGTGGCTTTACTTCAGTATTTGCTAATTATGGTTATGAAAAGCTTTGATGTACCTAAAACTCATGTAGTGTAAATACGTGAGTTGAATTTGATGAGCTTTGCTAATTATGGCTATGAATGAGTTGTGTGTACATCCTGCCCTCTCCAAACCCCACTTGTGGGATTATGCTAGGTGTGTTGTTGTCGTCTAGAATCTTTCCATCTGATCATTTGTATTATAGTCTTTGAGAAAATACATTTTTTGTCATTAAAATGAAGATGAGGTCATTCTTTTTGTTTAATAATTTTTCTTATATTGAACTTAGTATTCCACGTTAGCAATGCAGTCTCTTACACCAGTGTTGTATTGTGGACTCTCCTTATCTCAAGTTGAAAAGATCTATTTAAGAGGTTATATTGCTTAGTGTCAGTGTATTAGTTTGAGGCTAGTTTTACCTTTCTTTTAGTTTTGGATAAATATAAACAAGGATAACTTTAGTCCTGAGGATCTCAATTTCTTTTAAGGTTCGTTATTACCTTACAAGTTGCTAAAGACTCGAGTTTGGTTTTTTAATATTTATGAAGCCTTTTCGGTTTTTAAAAAATCAACTATATATGTCCAACTACAATTCTGACAATTTGGATCTCTGAACATTCCATAAGGAAATCATTGCATTCATAGTTGGATAGATATTGAAAGAAAAGGAAATATTTGCATCAAGTATGACAAGTTAAATGCTCAGATATTGTTATGGGACAAAAAGATCCAAAGCAACTTTTGGTCCTGGGGCTGGGGTGGGTGAGATTAAGAAGCTGTAATGGTGTGCGACATGCATATTGTGGCACATTTTTGTTCGTTTCCTAGCATGTTGTCGTAACGTTTCTGTATGTGCTCTGAACATTTCAGGTATATATGTTGGCGATGGTATGGTTATCCATTTTACTCGAGCTGCAGGTCAAGAGATTGGAACTGGAACTGTTTTGGACCGTTTCATATTCAGCTCATCTCCGTCACATTCCTCTGGCTCCCCATGTCCTAGATGTGGTGATCAATCAAGGACCGAAGGTGTTATCTCATCATGCCTCGAGTGTTTTCTTTGTGGGGGTGAGCTGTATCTTTTTAAGTATGGTGTCTCTCCAGGGGTTTTTATTGCTAAAACTCGAGGAGGAACATGCACAATTGCCCCTTCTGATCCACCAGAGCATGTCCTGCACCGTGCTAAATTTCTCCTTCAGAACGGTTTTGGGGTTTACAACATATTCAAGAACAACTGTGAGGATTTCGCAATCTACTGCAAGACCGGTTTGCTAGTCTTTACAAATGTCAGTGTAGGCCGGAGTGGGCAGGCAACATCCTTTTTAGCTGCCACAACTGCTATTGTTTCATCACCACTGCGCTTTCTAACTACAGGTGTTTCTGGTCTGGCTGCTGTGGGTTTTGGTGTTTACTGTGCCAGCCGGTATGTTTCTGATATTGGCGTACGTCGTGACGTCATGAAGATCCATGTTGAGAGACTTATCCTATGTCCTGGCCCTCTGGAGTCTGAAGCTGCTACTATTACTGATACATCAAAGGAAAAGGGGTTGTAGTTCTATGTAAGTTGACTGCATGGATCTCCTCAAGTAGGTTACTACACCATACAATATGTTGTAGGTGATGATGTTGTCATTGCTTTTGTGACTTAGGTTTGGTTATTATTGAAACAATGGTCATTTAAACAGGCCTTGTGTGCATTATTCCATCAAATGAATGCCTTGATATGTTATTGTAAATTGTTTATAACAATGTTCCAAGGTTCATATGAAAGACAGTGTGTGTGTGTTAACAAGATGGTTAGTCTAATTGAATGACAATGTGATTGCTTTTGTGACATGGGTTTGGGTTATTTTGGTCTATTGGGCCAAACTTTTGAAATAGGCTTATTTTGGAAAGTGATTTTCAAAAAGGTAAAAGAGCATGATATATACCTCAACTTTGCAATTTGGAACTGATTCATCTCTCGTTACAAAATTGGTTGATATGTACCTTTATCGTTACACAAGTATTGTATAAACAATAAATATGGATGTATATAGATCACTAATCTATATATATATATATATATATATATATATATATATATATATATATGATTATATACTATTTATACAAATTGATACATTACATATTACATATGTTATATGTTAATATGTATATGGCCATTTTAATTGAATATTTGTTTTTGTGGCTTGTGCAGTTACATACGAAGCCCTTGAAATTAGCCATCAAGCACATTTGCACTAACAACCAACAGTCTTACGAGCCCTCGTTTCGTTTGTTAAATCATTAAAACAGTTATATAGAATCAACACATTTAAATAGACAAAAAAATGGATTTTCTATAATATTCATGTTTAAATATTATGTTGAAAATATGGATCATGAATGTCTATAATTCCAAGAGCTGTCGCTCTCTCATGAATGAGCCAAAATCACGTTGACATGTGAGATTGTATAATATGTCTTATGCTTCACTTCACATTCCCCAATTTTTAGGATCTAAGTCAACGTTATTCATTGTATGACCTACTAGCGTACCTCAATTATTTTGCCGATTCACATTTCAGACAGATCTTAAAGTTTAGTTACAAATTTTTCGTTAATAAATTTATAAATATTGTTTCTAAATTTTGATATACCTGAGTTGAGGATTTTTGAAAAACATGTTTTTATTCTACTTCTATAAAATAGTGATAAAATCTGTGTACACCTTATCCTATCCAGATTTTATTTAGTGAAATTACACTTGATATATTATTATTGTTGTTGTTCATTCTATTTATTATTTTTATCAAATTATATATTATGATAATTCAGTCCTTCATCTAAGTCAAAAAAAAAAAAAAAAAAACACTTGCTCTAATATATATATTTTTTCTTCTCATGAGATCTCTTACCCCAAGAAAAGATACTACGTATGTAAGTTCACTATTGACTTAATTATGATACTGCGTGTATTAAGTTTGCTTACAATCTTTAAAGTTGACTTCAAGTGATATTGCTCATCTGTCTCAAAAGTTTAATGGCCATTTCTTTTTTCCTTTTAAGTTATCGAAATTAGTTTATTTTGATAATTACTTTTTATTAAAGGTATTTTTTAAAAGAAAAACAATTGTGTTTGATTAAAATTGTTTTTTTTTTCTAATAGTTTGTGGTTGGCAATATTTTCAAAAATTATTTTCAAGTATCAAATTACAAAATAGAGAATTACTCTAAGTTTAATACCGTAAATATGAATTACAATCTTGTCCTGAAATATCAAAGTACCTATTTTTAGTTTTTGCATAAAAGCAGAAAAACATTTTTTGTTAATTCTTTACATTAAGAGCTTGGTCAAGTACTTTAGTTCTTTAATTTGAAAATAAGTGGTTTTTTTTTAACTCAGCATGTTTTACTTTCAGATCTTTACCAAACAAGTCCAGTTGATCATTTTTATACATTTATTAAAAAATTATAAATAACAACATATTTCCCTCATTCCTTTTTACTTGTCAAATTTTGACATACATATTTAGAAAAAAATGATTAATATAGTCAATTCACTATTTTATTCCTAGTAATTAATAGGGTCCCAAATATATTTACTCATCATATTTTTCAAGGACATTAGCCCAATGTTAATAAATTAAGGGTATAATAGGATTTTTTTTAATCTTTTCTTGATTTTTCAAAAATGACAAGTAAAAAGGAAAATCAAATTAGAAAAAATATTTGACAAGTGAATAGGGACGAATGGAGTATTTTTACTAATTCACCCATTAAATAATTTCTTGATAATTTTACAGACAAATCTGAACACTTTCAAAAGAATTAATTGCAAGGTTAATATTGAAAAAAATTAATTAATACTTTCTTGATTTAGTAAGGCAAACAACTAGTATAAAATAACTATTTTTAATAAAATGTGTTAAATTAGGTCTTAGGCCTAACTCACACCCCAAAAGCTAGCTCAAAGGGAGGAGGATTGCCCAAGCCTTATAAGGAGTCCACCCATCTCATTAACCACCGATGTGGGACTTTTGTCATTCTTTAACACCCCACCTCACGCCCAGTGCTTAGCATCTGGTGCGTGGGCATTTTGATTTTGGGGGTCCCAACATCGGGTGAGACGGGCCCTGCTCTGATACCATGTTAAATTAGGTCTTAGGCCTAACTCACACCCCAAAAGCTAGCTCAAAGGGAGGAGGATTGCCCAAGCCTTATAAGGAGTCCACCCATCTCATTAACCACCGATGTGGGACTTTTGTCATTCTTTAACAAAATGATCACTTAATATGTGACAAAAAAATACCTATTAAGCCATCTATATAAACAAAAAGAAAAAAGAAGAATCATAATCCCAAGAATGTAACTCTTGTGAGTAATTTATAAAGAACCTTATATTTTATTAGAAAAGAGCATGAAGGAATGTGGGACAAAACATGATAAATAAGATTTTATTTTATATACCGTGAATTGTATATGAAAATTAACACACTTACTATAAATAAAGTTCTTTTTCCTTTTTTTTTTTTTTTTTTTTTTATTTATAAATCAGCATACAAAAAGTCAAAGCTAATAAATAAGCCACAAGCTGGTCTCCAAAACCAATATGCCAGCCAACCAACAACCAATATGTATGTATATGCAAAAGGCAATTTTATTGACTCTATTCACTCGTCACAGCATCCCAACTTTCTTAAAATTAAATTATCTAAAAAAGCGAAATAAAAACAGCCTAAACTCCACATACCCACCACTCCACCATACCTTTTTTTTTTTTTATCGTGGTTTCCGGGCGTCGCTTTGCGAACCCGACTAGCTGTACCCACCGGGTCCCGCTGTTTCAAGGCGGGTCCACCACGGTTAGTTCCACGGGGCCCTGGAGACGCGGCCGGTTTGTAATGCCTCCAGTGGCCCTGCTGGGGCTCGAACCGGCGACCTGAAGGACTTTGTCCCAGGCCTTTACCAGCTGAGCTACCCCTCAGGGTTACCACTCCACCATACCTCATTACCTCCTATGACACTTTTTATTTTTCGGCAATCAAATAGTTAAAATTTAATTGAAAATTTATGCGTGGAGTTTTTTTAAATAAAATTTATATATTTGTAGACTACGTAAAAAGTACTATAAGTTACAATAATTGACAGTTTAAAATAATTAAAAGATATATGAAAAATTTACGATCAAACTTGTCTGAATCTCGAAATCTGAAAAGCGTCACATAAATTGAGACAGAAAAAGTATTTCTATTTAAATATACTTGTCAAATATTTTTTAATTTAATTTTTATTTTTATTCATCATTTTTGACAAATTAAAAAAAATTATAATCGAGTTAATAAAAATAAAACGATAAACTCAATCTTGACAAGTAAAACCGAAAAGGGGAAGTAGCATTTTTCTTAGTACCGAACAGACGTAGAGATTCATATTTCCTGCTTTTTCTACCCAACAAATCGGAACTCCCACTATGAATTGTTTATATCTCCATCCGATAAAGACAAACCACATCCCAATATAGTCTCCTATTTCTGATCAACTTCTTCAAGAAAAACAGAGAAGAAGAAAAAAAAGGCAGCCCCTGTTTTATACTGCACTCATCTATTTCTTTATCAACTCTACAATACACATCTATCTCACCTTCAAGAAAACAAAGAACAAGAGAACCCAAAAAACCCATTTTATTTTTTTTGGTTTCTTTTGTGTGTGAGGCTATGGATAGTAGATCCAACAGTGTCAACAGAAACACAAAGAAAAATGATGATGATAATATCACCCAAAGAGAAGAAGCTTTGTATTCTGTAGAAAGGATCTTTGAGTCCAAAGAAGTGCCATCATGGCAGAATCAGTTAACTTTAAGGGCTTTTTGTGTGAGTTTCATATTGGGAATTCTTTTCACTTTCATTGTCTTGAAATTGAGTCTCACCACTGGTATTATTCCTTCTCTCAATGTTTCTGCTGGACTTTTGGGGTTCTTTTTCCTCAAAACGTGGACTAAACTTCTTGAGAAATCTGGAATTCTTAAGCAACCTTTCACTCGCCAAGAAAACACCGTCATTCAGACCTGTGTTGTTGCTACTTCCGGCATTGCATTTAGCGGTAAGTCTCTCTCAGGCAGGCATTTTATCAAACACATAAGCTGCAACTCTTAGAATAATTAGTGCTTTCATTTTTCAACAATTTCTTCATGCATTATTATTATTGCAGTTTAATTACTCGTAATAATACTTTAATCTGATAGATAATTGTGTTTTCCATGTTTAAGATCTTGTTAAAATCCGGACAGAAAAGTAGAAGGCGGGGGGTTAAAGGAGGATAAATCTAAAGAAACTCTAGAAATTAATAAATGTAAATTATATTAAGCCATGCACTAATATCGCAGTTAGTTAAAGATTTGGATTTAACTAGAAAGTTTGCATGTTTGAATCATGAATTTGGGCCACGTGTATTTCTCATGGGCCCTCTTGGGCCTCCAGCTTTTGTGTGGGGTCCACAAGGTTGGCTTTTAAAGTTGTATGGAGATGGTGGTCCCACATAGTTAGGCTCAAAGGTTTGTGAATTTCTACGAACAATAGCAATAAATATTATTTACTCCCTCTTTGGGACTTGTTTGCCTTGGCATAAATTTTAAAAAAGAAATTTTGAAATTTATGATTTAAAAAAAGTTATAGATATTTATATTTGTGTGTTTATAAATTATTTTATTTAAAAAAATAGGTATTTTAATAATGAGAATGCACACACAAAATATTTAAGTTAAATAAGATGAAAATTTTATTTTAAAGAATAAATAGCTTGCAAAGAAAGTATAAAAAACTAAATAAAATCGAGAGCTGTTTTTGCAAACAATTACACTATTCTAGAAATTATGCCACCCATGTTATTAGAATATGACAAACCAAACAACCAATAAAAAATAATCTCAATATAATCAATTTCATCATAACTTATCGGCATAATACAAAAACATGACCTTTAACTTGGCGTTAGCGGGCAACTATGACCTTTAATTTTGGATGTGCACAAATAAACACTTAAACTTGTATAAAATTGAATAAATAGACACAATCGTCCTACATGGCACCCTACATGACAATTTTGTGTCCTACGTGGTGTCCTATGTGTATTATGTCATGTAGGACAAGTGTGTCTACTTGTTCAGTTTTATACAAATTTAAGTGTCTACTTGTGCACACTCAAAGTTGGAAGGCATAATTGTCTGTTGGAGCCAAGTTAAGGGTTATGTTTATGTATTATGCCTAACTTATTCCTTCTCAACTAATCCCAACATAACTTGTCTCCAAACCAAACGACCCCTTTGTCTATTATTTTTCTAGAGTTCATTGGATTTGCTTCATGAAAATTGAGTTTATTGCAAAGTAGTTGGTTATCGCAATATACCATATTGAAAAACTATTAGAAGAACAAATTAGGAAGCTTTGACTGAAAAATGATATTAGTCTGCGTGATATTCAGAAGTTCTATAGAAAATAGTATACTATTTTCCAAATAGAATGCTTAGTATAGTATCTCTGTTAGTTCTTGTTTGGAGAGTTTAATCAAGATAAAAAAAAATTGCAGTTCTGTTTGGCTAATTCCAATTAAGAATAATAAACATGAACAAGTGTGTATGTTAACTATATTTGGGTGCTAACTTTGTCAATTTTGAGCCTTGTTCTTCAACAACTTTGTTATGATGGAATTTCTTGCCTTGAGCATTATCGAGCAACAATGCTAGCTTAGCAACGGCCTCATATTATTCCTTCATACCTTGAGCATCTCAAGTTCAATAACTCTTAATTCCTCTTTTTCACTTTTGATGAGCAGGAGGTTTTGGAAGCTATCTATTTGCCATGAGTGAAGTTGCAGCCAAACAATCAACTGAAGCAAATAATGCATTCAATATTAAGAACCCCTCTTTGGGATGGATGATAGGGTTTCTTTTCGTTGTTAGCTTTCTTGGGCTTTTCTCAGTGGTTCCTCTTCGTAAGGTATTTCCTTTTCTCAGGATATGTGTAATCATATACATAACAAATTTTCTTGCAAAAGATCAAAGCTGCTGTTCTCAGGATTTTGATCAGTTTTACTTTTTTCTTTATAATCAAATTTGTTTTGTTAATTATGTTTTAGATTATGATCATAGACTTCAAACTGACATATCCAAGTGGCACAGCAACTGCTCACCTGATCAATAGTTTCCATACCCCACAAGGAGCTAAGCTAGCAAAGTAAGCAAGTTACACAACTTAAGTAAATTCTGTCAGCATTACAGAAGGTATGCTGACAATTTTATCGTTTCTTTTTAATTGATCACTACAGGAAACAAGTAAAAGCTCTGGCGAAATTCTTCTCCTTCAGCTTCTTGTGGGGTTTCTTCCAATGGTTTTTCACTGCTGGGGATGACTGTGGATTTGCAAGTTTTCCCACGTTTGGCCTTAAAGCATATGAGAACAAGTAGGTTCTAATTAATTCCAAACTACCTCTACGTGATAAAGGTTCAATTCTGTCATCTCTCTCGCAATTGAAAGAGATGATATAGTTTGGCTTTCAACTTTTGCTTACCTTTATTTAACATTTTATTTTTTTCCGAATCGATCAGGTTTTACTTTGACTTTTCAGCAACATATGTTGGTGTAGGGATGATATGTCCTTACTTAATCAACATATCTTTGCTACTTGGATCTATCCTTTCTTGGGGTATAATGTGGCCTCTGATTCAGGACAGAAAGGGCCATTGGTTCCCTGCAGATGAGAGCCCCAGCAGCCTTCATGGTTTGCAGGGATATAAGGTAATCTCCTCCTTTTACGTTTAGAGCAGACAGATCAAATGAAGCACAGTTTCAATTCTTAAAATATACTTTCCTCATAATTTTCTTCTATTGCAGGTCTTCATAGCAATAGCCATGATCCTTGGTGATGGTCTCTACAATTTCTGCAAGGTATTTGGACGAACATTATATGGTTTGTATTTGCAATTCTGCAGTAAAGATGAAGGAGCAGTCCTGCCAGTTGGTGCTCGTCCATCTCCTCCAGAGCCTTCCATGTCTTTTGATGACCAGCGACGAACAACGCTTTTCCTCAAGGATCAAATTCCAATATGGGTTTCCATAGTTGGTTATGTTGGCATTGCCATCATCTCTACTATAACACTTCCACACATTTTCCATCAACTTAAGTGGTACCATATCATTGTGATTTATGTTTTTGCACCGGTTTTGGCCTTTTGCAATGCTTATGGTTGTGGTCTCACTGACTGGTCTTTGGCATCTACCTACGGAAAACTGGCAATCTTTACAATTGGTGCATGGGCTGGGGCTTCTCATGGAGGGGTTCTTGCTGGACTAGCTGCGTGTGGCGTCATGATGAACATAGTCTCCACTGCATCTGACCTAACACAGGACTTTAAGACTGGTTATATGACATTGGCTTCCCCGCGGTCCATGTTCATAAGCCAGATTATTGGCACAGCAATGGGTTGTCTCATCTCCCCATGTGTATTTTGGCTCTTCTATAAGGCATTCCCTGACTTAGGTACCCAAGGTTCAGCATATCCTGCCCCTTATGCCCTGGTGTATCGTAACATGTCTATCATTGGAGTTGAAGGTTTCTCAGCTCTTCCAAAGAACTGCCTCACCCTTTGCTACGTGTTCTTCATAGGAGCTATTGTGATCAATGGCATCAGAGATCTTGTGGGAAAGAACAAGGCAAAGTACATTCCTCTCCCAATGGCGATGGCCATTCCCTTCTATCTTGGCTCCTACTTTGCTATTGACATGTGTCTCGGGAGCTTGATATTGTTCGTTTGGACAAAGATTAACAAGGCCAAGGCTGATGCATTTGGGCCTGCTGTGGCTTCTGGTCTGATTTGTGGTGATGGAATATGGACCTTACCCAGTTCAATACTGGCTTTGGTAGGAGTGAAACCGCCTGTTTGCATGAAGTTTCTGTCTAGGAATGCTAACACTAGAGTCGATAGTTTCTTAAATTCTTGAACTCCCTTCTAGTAGGTGTTTCTCATTTTCTTTTGTTCTGTTAGTATTGTCACATTTGAAATGAAATTGTTTGTGTACATATCAACTACTTCAATTGTCAAAAATCATTTCAATTCAATTGAAACAGGAATTGTTATCTGAGTTAAAAATGTGCAAGCACAGAAAGCTGCTTCTTCCTTTCCTGTGTCAAATTTCTTTATTAGTATTTGTTTTATTGGAAAGATGATATCTGATTTCCTTACTGTTGGAAAGACCAAGAAAAATAAAAAATAAAAAAAGAAGAGAAGTTGTTATCCAGAAGCATAAATAAAAGCTTGAAGACGTCAACACGTTTTTTACTCGAGTCCCTTCCAGATATTTCTAGCTTTTTCCAGATTCCCTTATCTTTTCGAATATATATGCTTTGTCTTAATCCCAACAACCCCACCGTTGTGACTCTCATCTGCCATATCTCAGTTACTTCCTAGTGATCTAAGCTTCTTTAATTGCCAATCTGCAAGTTAACTAGACACCTACAATAGATAGAAAACTCACAAGTTTTGCTGCAAACCTTGTAACTTAAATACACGCTTTTGGAGCTGAAATTAAGGGTCTGCCTGCAGTAGACTTGCCTGAGAGACTTTGGTTTTGTTATTATTGTCACTATGTGTTTGGTGTTTGTATGTGATGAAGATGAGAGGGTGTTACAAAGACAGGCAGCTCCAGGAGCTTGTCCTTACTGTGGAGGGATGGTTCAAGCCTTGGACATGGAGAGTCAGTGGAGATTCTGCTTTGTCCCTCTTTATTTCAAAACTAAACGCAGATATTACTGTACCCTTTGCACCAGACGTCTCATCATCCAATAATTTTACCTAATCTTATGATATAGCCTCGCTTCTTTTATCAGTCTTGTGTGTCCTTGAACTTTCAAGAAAACAAAGATGTATAATCTTTTGGCTTTTCAGGTATAAAGGGTGTGTATGTGTTATCTAAGTTTTGTAAGTTTGATTTACGAAATGATTAGCAAAAGATTGTTCTGGTGGAACTATTCTTGTTTTGTCCTGCATTTGCTCTCTGTTTACCTTTCGGTTCATGAAAGTCCACACTATGAAAAATTGCTCTGATTTGTCTGATATCATGGAAGCCACATATGGGTATTATCTGTTCAAACATATTGTCTTGAAAACTGATCCAAATAGCAATCATATCAACCATATGCCTGCTTACATGGCGCCATCACAAATCATGATTCTTTTTTTAATTTATTTATTTTCAGAACTATCCTTCCCCTTTCGTAAAAGTTGTGACTTTTATGAAAAATTGCGACTTTAATGAAAATCTGTGATTTTTATGAAAAGTTGTGACTTATATGAAAATTTGCGACTTTTATGAAGAGTTGCGACTTTTATGAAAAATTATGCCTTTTATGATAGGTTCTGACCTTTCCGAAGGGTTGTAACTTTTCTAAAGAGTTGTGACATTTCTGATAAGGCACAATAAACATTTGTTCACACTACTATTTGTTGTCTAGCTATAAATAGAGGGATTTCCTCTCATTTTAAAACAATGAAAATTCTGATTTTTTTCTTCTTCTTTTGCACAATTAAATATTCGTGTACAATTTTTTCATCCTATTGTTACAGATCCTGGAGTCACTAATTTATGTTTATGTTATTAATTATTGTTTTTAAATACATGTTTTAAACTTTGTTGTTTATGTTTGTGCAAAGTTATTGTTATAAGTATTTGATAGTGTAGATTAAATAACACACGTTAATTGAGTATTCACGTAAGTTTTCTCCACTGAAATTGTTGAAGGTACGTAAAAAAAAACTCCTTAAAGATCTATACTACCATCTCTTGAAGACAAAATTCACCCAAACAAACTAAATAATTTGTGTAATCTTTTCCCTTTCAAGTATATATAATAAGTTGAATTGTTATCCAATATCATACATTCTCCCTTTAATTTTTCATTTTATTAATTTCTTATGATACATTAAATGGAGAATTTTAAAATGATATATGTAAAACAAAAGGTAGAGCTGAACTTTCTACACGTTAGAATTAGAATATTTGTTCATTTTTTCATTATTTTAGTTTTAATGACTCATAGATTTTAAGTATTATTTTATAAATTCTATGATATTAAATTCTCGCACGAAGCGCGGGTGATTTTACTAGTTCAGCATAATCTTGAAGGTTCTTTAACTATTTTGCTCGAGTAAAACTTAGTGAATATGATTCCAAAGAAATATTTTCCTCTTAACAATATCAGCTAAATCAAACACCATAATTGAAGTATTCCCTTCTCCATTTTCCTATTCGAATCGTTATAGTGCATTCTTATTTTTCTGTGGATTTCAGTGCCTCACTAGCTCGGGTTTGTTTCATCACAGATATCTTTCAAGTATTGTGATGATTACTTTTCCTATAATTGATGTCCATCTGTCCGGAAATGCTTTATGAAAAGGATAGATCTGTATACACAAAGTTGTTGAAGATTATATATTTATATTACATTGATCTTGCTTTATGCACTACATTAAACATGTAAAATCTTGTGAAGGTATTTAGTTTCTGCAGCTGTACATTGGAAGTAATTTCACTTAGGCCTCAATTAGTTCTCTAATTGGTTTGCTGCTTATGTTAGCTGATGGAATATCAGTGAATTCCGAGAGTATAGCCCTGAACTCATCTCCTGTAACAGTCTCCTTTTCTAGCAGCACGTCCACTAACTTGTCGATTGCCTCCCTGTTGTTCCTTATGTGGTTCTTTGCAATTTCATATGCTCTCTCAATTATGTGCCTTACAGATTCATCAATGTCTTCTGCTAGTTTCTCTGACATTTGATTCCTTGCTAGCATTCTCAGCACCACATCGCCACTTTGTGCTGCTGGATCTGTTAACGTCCATGGTCCAATCTCAGACATCCCAAACATTGTAACCATCTGTTCAGGTTACGAACATTGACAAGTTAAAACTTGTGAGTATTCGACTATAATATTGTTTTCTTTATTATTTGGTGCAACAAGAAAATATGCTAAAGTGAATACCTGTCTTGCTATTTGAGTTATTTGTTGCAAGTCTCCTGCTGCACCAGTAGTGATTTCTGGTTCACCAAAAATTATTTCCTCTGCTGCTCTACCTCCTAAGCCTCCAACTATTCTAGCAAAGAGTTGCTTCTTGGAGATTAAGGTTGGATCTTCACCAGGAATGAACCATGTAAGACCGCGAGCTTGCCCTCTTGGGATCAATGTAACTTTCTGGACTGCATCATGGCCAGGGATCAATGTCCTACAAGCACAAGAACTCACTCTTAGTACCTTGTCTTTTGATTACAAGAACTCAATCCTAAACTTGTCCGGTTATTTCATTTAGACACCTAGCATGGCCTATTGAACACCTAATGTTAGTTGAAAAACAAACCACAGAACAATAAAAGGGGCAAGAAGTAATTGCTGACTTACGCGCACACAGCATGTCCAACCTCATGGTATGCTACCAGAATCTTGTTCTTTCCATCTGTCATCGTAGTTCCTTCCATTCCAGCGACAATTCTATCGATGGAATCATCTATCTCTTTTGAGGTAATCTTATCTTTTCCTCTCCTTCCAGCTAGAATTGCAGCTTCATTCATCAGGTTTGCAAGATCCGCACCACTGAATCCTGGTGTTCTCATTGCAATAACACTTAGAGACACATCTTTGTCAAGCTTCTTGTTGTTACTGTGAACCTTCAGTATTTCTTCTCTTCCTCTTATATCAGGCAGTCCAACAGTTACCTATTGAATTACAATATAAATGTAATATCAATATTAGTTAAGTGTATCCTGGAAACTGTGATCTTTCGGCGAATTTTACATTGAAAAAACTCATTTCTTACCTGTCTATCAAACCTTCCAGGTCTAAGCAAAGCTTGATCAAGAATTTCAGGCCTATTAGTAGCAGCAATGACAATGACTCCTGTGTTTCCCGTAAAACCATCCATTTCAGTAAGAAGTTGGTTCAGTGTCTGCTCTCTTTCATCATTTCCTCCACCAATACCAGTTCCTCTCTGCCTCCCAACAGCATCAATTTCATCAATAAAGATTATGCAAGGCGAATTTTGTTTCGCCTTGTTGAATAAGTCCCTAACTCTAGAAGCTCCTACACCAACAAACATCTCAATGAACTCTGAGCCAGAGAGAGAAAAGAATGGCACCCCTGCTTCCCCAGCAATCGCCTTAGCCAGCAATGTCTTCCCTGTCCCTGGTGGCCCTACTAAGAGAAATCCCTTTGGTATCTTTGCTCCAACTGCAGCAAACTTCTCTGGAGTCTTCAAGAACTCAACAATCTCTTGAAAATCTTGTTTTGCTTCATTAACTCCAGCCACATCATCAAATGTTACTCCTGTATTTGGTTCCATCTGGAATTTGGCTTTGCTCCTGCATTGTCCACAAACAAGTTAAGAATATCAATCCATTAGACATAAAGTTCAATCTTGATCATGTTTTTTAAGTTTCCAGTCCAGCATACCTTCCTAATCCAAAAGGCAAGTTTGGACCTCCAGGGGTATTTGAAGAACTTCTCAACAGCAAATAGCCAAGCAATATCAATGGAAAAGCCAAGTTCCCAAGTAAATCAAGAAGTGGTCCAATTACATTCATTTCAGGGAGATGAGCAGCAAAATCTACCTCCTTGTCTTTAAGTTTTCTCACCAGTTCTGGTGGCAATCCTGGCAACTGAATTTTAACTCTCTGGACTTTGTTAAGAGCAGGATTGATCAATATCTCAGCAACAGCACTGTTCTCGAAGAAATCAACTTTCTTGACAGCACCTTGATTCAAGTAATCCAAGAATCTTGAATATGACATTCTACTTGAAGTTACCTCAACTGGTGCTTCAGTCTCAGCTCTTGCTGACTTAGACAAAGTCCCTGCTACAAGGCTCAAACCACTAGTACTCAACAGTTTCCTCCTGTTTATTCTGGTGTCTGAATGTGTTTTCTGACATGGGGTTTCTTTATTGGAGAACTTAGGATTGTAAGCATCCTTGGAAAAGTCTTGGGATTTGCATAGTGGAAACTGAGAGACAGACAAAGAAAGAGCAGTAGACATTTTGTTTTCCTCAACTTAGGCTTTTTGTGTTTATGAATTATGTATTGCAGTTTGGGAAGTTGAAGGCAGTTGACAACTTTGGATGGAGAGTTAGTAAAAATGTTATAATATATAGTTAGTTATATAGGATTTGAAGGGGCTATTTTGTTTGGAATTATGTTTGTGATATATATTTGGTAGTATCAAGTATGTACTTGGTTATTCATGAAGGGTCTAGAGTAAATGATGACTCATGTCTTATATATATTAGGATATGATGTGATGGAAAATAGAGAAGAAGCATATCTTAATTTATAATTACTAGACATTATATCAGTTTAACCATACACTTGGAGAGAAAATTGTGGTCTATTGTTTGGACAAATTCTAGTGGGCACTTTTACATGAACTTTTGGTTAAAAAAGCAGCAAGAAAAGTTCAAATAGTTTTACATGAAATCCTAGTGTCATATAAATATAATTATTTATTCTAGTGGAAAACATAATATTTTTAGACGTTAAAACATGTAAGACTATTTAATTTTAATTCATTAGATAATCCACGATCTAATTTTGATACGATGTTTGCTCTTTTTTTTAACCACTACTTTAATATTCTCAAATCTCAATCACAAATAAATATTGTATAAATTAAATTAATACTATAAATTTTATATTCAGTCAAATATTGTGAGAGTAATAATATATGTTTATATTGTATAAATTAAATTAATATTATAAAATTTATATTCAGTCAAATATTGTGAGAGTAATAATATATGTTTTGAAAACGTCGGTGCATCAACCCAAACACTTGCGAGTTGCGACACATACACTATTATAACTAAGTATATTTTCTTAGGATGGAAAAATAAGTAATTTAGAGTTTAGAGTTTCTGATGGATAAAGAAATCTTTAAACCCTTTGCTTTGTCTCTTCGATTATTATCAAGCACCTGATTTGACGAAT